GATAAGTGAATCCATTGCTAGAAAAGCAAAAACAAATAGATTCAGAAATTTCCAAACTGTACATAACATTTGTCATAGAAGACTGGTAACATTATTAAGAATGGAAAAAGAAAATAGCGGCAGCAAGGTAGTCTTCAAATGCAAATAATAAAAGCACTGTTTCTTCAATGGACTTGTACCCAGGTATCTTGATACCTGTGTGTCACATAAAGCATGCAAAATATTTGAAAATATATAATTGTTTACACAGAGAAAACTGCTTCAAAGGGTTAAGAAACAGTTTACTTGACCAACATCTCAGTTGCAGGGACTCATTTGCAACAGGAATATATTACTTTAATACATTGTTTCCTGTGCAAACTGAGCACAAGCACGACTATCAGAAGTGAGCAAAATGCACTTTTTCCCTATTTGCTTTTTCAAAGCAGTGGCAAGCAAGCACCAGTTATACTGCACTTGCTGTTGGATTTACCGGCTAAGTGTGTCGGAGCTAGAACTAGCACGGCGCTGAACTCCTGTCTTGTGGTTCATGACGCCATGCAAAATGTCCCAGATGTGGTGAACTATCAGATCAATGGCCACTGCAAGGCAAACAACAAGCAGAGATCTATATTAGATACGCCTATGACGTTTTCTGAGACATCAAAAATGAGAAGTCAAAAAGGGAGAGACCATTATCAATTTGTTTTATAAAACCATAATTAATCAGTGAAATTCAAATATTAATTTAATTTAACATTGTCAAGTCTTAAAACTTCAAATCAAATTGACCAGATGAATGATTCCATAATTAAATTGCCAAAAGATTAAAAGTGAAGGAAGAACGTTGCAATCCGCATAATAAATGACACTAAAAAACTTATTGCATTTAATTTTCTTTTTAAATTCTAATAGTCTAATTCTAATAATAGTATCTTTCTTTTGTAAATTCTGTCAATTCCAATGTGAAGTTCTGTATAATATATTTCAACAAATTCCTATTTGCACAAATATACGTGATCATGTTCATTCCAGATATAAAGAAGAAATAATTATAGTAGATATTGTGCAAAATTACTTACATTTGTGACCAAGAAAGAATGCACACATAATTGAAATATTATAATTTAAACACTACTAAAGTAATAAACCATAAAAGTGGTGATATTTTTTTACAACATAGCATCTTGGTAACTTATACTCATTAGAACTTTGTCAAATAATTACCGGAATGAAAACAAAATCAGTATCATCTTACTGACTACTTTTCATTATGATTGGATAAGAAATGAAATTGAAGCAAATCTAGCTTCTCTGAAAAAGTTTTAATCGACAGGTATAAAAACAGACATCAATTGTGAAAACCAATACTTCTTGAATCAAGGAAATTATTTGTATCAAATTTATTTATTCTTTGTGTGTATACTTAGGATTCAGACAAGGAAATTTCCACATGCACACAGAAACACCACACGTGCATGTGGACACACACAAGCACAAATAACAATAATAATAAAAACATAACATTTGAAGTAAAGAAACAAAGCAAATACCTTCCTCAATGGATATTATTACAAAGCATAAAATTGAATAATCAAAATGAATAATTTTTAACATACTCACTACTTTGATTCTGATGATAAAAAAATCATAAAAGAACGTTAAGAATGAGAAGAAACCGACTTAACTTTCACAACATTAGTTCTTGAAAGCAGAAATCTACTATTAAAATGCAGAGTAAAATAAAATTTCCATCAATGTATCATTCCACATCACAGAGACATTTTTCGCCTTTGCTGTGTATTTTAACGTCCATCTCTCTCTGCAAGTGCATTTAACTTATAACCAACGCAAGACCTATCTATTATTTCTCTAAAATATTAGAAGAATTGTGTACCAAATAAACGAGAGGCAGCATAACCAAATGGTTTTCAGTCACTGAGGGTTTTAAAGAAATAAGTCTTTCTCAGTCCCCCCTCTTTTCTTTCCAATTTGTTGTCAATATCACACTATGGAGTAATCCTCAATGAACAATGATAGATATATTTATTTGTTTGTTTGTCTACGGTCGCGTCTTATTGCAGTCAGTTGTCAAGAGGACAACAAGGTAGCATTTCTGTGTACCACGTTCTCCTGAATCATTACCTAGCGGCTACACTTGCAAAGGATTTAGGAAAGGCTTGGGGTTTAGGACACTTTGCAGAGGTTAGAATAGCCCATGTGAAGCAGGCAAACTTGTTTTGTTGGAACAAATTTCACACGAGATTGTCCGGGAACCAAACCTGGACCTCCTTGGTGGAAGGCAGGCAACATTGCTCTGTGCCACGAGTTACCCAGTTTTTATACATTCTGGCAAATGGAATTTTCTCTCTCTTTCTTTCCAGCCTAGTAGCTCAATATTGTTTTCCTTGAAATTAGCGACTAAAACTTTACGACACTTCTGTGGGAGAAAAAAAAAATAAAATAAAATAAAAAAATAAAAAAGAAAGAAAGAAAACCACCACCACCACCCCCCCTCCCTCTATTAAGGATCAAAAAAAATTTCCTCAAATCATCTACCCTCCTCCAGAGGAACAAGGAGAGTGGAAGGGCCGGTTAGATAGGAAGTAAATTTTATTGAACTATTTCCAAATGTGTATCCAAAGTAAAAATAACATACATCAAATGTAAGCATGTAATGCACTTGCAAGCAATATTTATCTTCTTGAAATATAATTAATATTAAATTAAGATTTAATTATCTCCCTCTACTAATAAGTAATTGAATAATTTAATGACTACAAATTCATTATTTGAGAAATATATACTTGTGTTACCATTAATTATTAAAAGAAGACAGTAAATTTTCTCACAGCATTGCAGAATAATTGCATTGCACTAATCAATAACATGCTTAGTTGTTGGTTTCTCCCATGTGAAATATCCATCAATGTTAATCACATGATGCAGTAAATTTGATGTTGGTTAATTTACACGATATTCTTAATTCATTGAAAAATTGCTTGTTTTAAGAGTCTGATCACATGTCATGTCAATGTTATCACACAGATGTTGCTAACTTTTAATAAAACTACTTTCTAATTAAAAGCACAACTTCTATTTTTGACAGTTTTTTTTATCTTACGATACTGTTCCAATAATTATAAACTAAAGAATAGCAATTTCTCAGCTACCTTCAAAACCAATAATATATGGCATCTGTCTATCAGCTTCTTGTGTTATACGTAATGGAGAAATGCAGGAAAAGGGCAAAGAACATTAAACTACACACTTTAGTTTCTTATTTTGAGAAATTTACAATGAGCAGCACGAAAGATAACCAGGCGAAAGATGAGATGATTATGAATTATTCAGATAAGTCATTACAAATCAATAAACAAGTTTGCAAAACCCTAAACAAGAATTATTTAAAAGTTGAATTTACAATTACAAGACTTTTCTTCTTCTTTCTTTCATGAAATACTGAGTTCTCCAATCAACAGGGTGAGAATCAGGATCATATCAGGGTATCTTCTGGCTTTCATAACCTCCCTCTTAATAAAATAAATAAATCCATGTTAACTTCCATCACTCTAAATGTTACTATGCTATTTCTTACTCTGTAATTTAAAATATATTAATTACATTATGTTAATAAATAAAATATATTTCATAACAAGTATAACACTTCGCAAAAAATTATATTTAGGATCCGCCACAGTTAGCAACTTTAACAAGCTGGATAAACCCAATTCTGGCTTGAAAGAAATTAAAATATAACATAATAACAATCTGTTTTGAATAAATATTCAATCTCTTGTCATTAAAATAGTTATGTAGCCAGATTTAATAAACATTACTCATACAAAGAAAATGTGGATATCTGAATCAATGTAATTGTGACAAATTTTGTGAATTTTTTTTGAGTACCTAATTTCTCCGCAAGAAAATGGAAATATTTAGGATCAGAAAACAAACTTCACACTAAAAACTTATCATTACTATGCAAATTTCCTTTCAGATCTATTTTCATTAAATGTCCATTCAACAAACTTCGCCATCGTGGAGCATCTTTACAAGTTTCACAAAGCTTCAAATTATAAAACGTTTGTTAATTTTTTTGATTATTTCAAACTTCATAAATCATACAATCAATAGGGGAAAAGTTCAATAGTGTAGTATGTAAAGTCATCATCACTGATATTTTGACAATGAACTGTTAATATGATTTCACTACAGAAAAATGAAAAATTAACAAAATGTGTAGAGGATCAAAATCAATGTTGTGTACAAGTAGACAATTAAATACTGAAGTTGTTCCCCAATTTTCAGTTTCCAAGTTTATTTGCATTGGAAAAGAACATAAAGGGAAAGAACACTCTCCAACATAATTTTATAGTACTTAATAATATGAAGCACATAATGCAAATAAATACGATATTATTTTCTAAATTAATATTTTAATTGGGCAGATTTCAATTTGTAGTTCTGTAAATGCTAATAATTCCAGTTAACAGATCTAAATAATTACAGCCTTGATCATGTTCATTAAAACAATTAAAAATATTTTCAACTATCACTCTCTAGTATTTACCCGATTGGCAACCAATTATGTATATGTTATGTCTTCTCAAGAGATGCGCTGAAGAACTGAATTACAAAATAAATATATAAAAACTGTTTTGCAAGTATGAAACAATAAAAATTAAACGAGGGAAAATGCATTCTGTTTTAAGTAATTTCAATCCAATTAAAACAAGAAGAAAAGAAAAATAAACAAACACAAATTCTTGGTCAAATAAGGATACTAGTCGCTAAATAATTTTTCTAAATCTCTCTCTCTCTCAAGTACCGAAGTCCAAACAAACCTACTTCTCAAATAATTAACATTCAATACTAATTTTCTTTCAGTTCTCCACAAACAACTGATCTAGTATCAATGAAAATAATGAAGTAAATAAAATGCTAAATAACAGAATAGGCTTAGTATGTCAAAATTTTTCTGACAAGTCGAAAGCAATACTGCTGGCACATTAACTCACCAGTGTTGTCTGCACCTCGCGGAATAATCACATCAGCATACTTTTTAGTCTGCAAATAAATAATCACACTTTTCTAGTTACTTTAAAAATTTAGCAATAGAGGTAGCAATACAAAACTAGAAATTCTGTCAACTGCAAGCCTAGATCTTGCACAACAGAGGTTGTGGGCTAATGGTTTTTGGTAATTGCATTATGCAAACATTCAAATAATGAACTGGTCTTAAAGAAATAATCAACAAAACTCAACTGAGTCAAAATATGATCCAACTCTTGGAAATTCCATGTCAACAGTTTGTTCTAAACACTCAAGAGTAAATTATCATCTATGAAATCCGAGGTGTTGGGGCCCTTTTATATTATATGAAAATGTGTACTACTTTCTAGACTCTTATCAAATGGTCTTCACATTTGTGGCCATACTCCTTATGCCCAGAACATATTTTCAAGCTAAAAAAGGGCAATTAAGATTACGCGAGATAAAAAGATTAATGAATCATGCAGACCATTTGTCCAACTTAAAATACTGTATTTACCCAACTGTAAGCCGAATTCCCCTCACTTTTTATTTTGTAGTTCAAAAATTGACCCTCGACTTACAATCCGTGTCATTGTGTAGCTATAACCTACTTGACACCAGACATCTGTTAAGATATCCATTTTGCGTTGGTCATGCAGCCAACTGTAGAACACACACAAACTCTGTTGTGTTCAAACGCAAGACACTCCTAGTCATTTCCTAAGTGCGTTATTACACACGCAAATGAAAAAAGGTGCTTAACCGAAGACATGATGTCACAACGAGTGCAGATGGTGTGGCATTGTTGCCCTGGTGCATTGATTCAGTTATATAACTTCCTGGTTTTGGACTCTTAAACGGGCCACACTACAGAGGTGGTGAAGGAGTTGAAAGATACGGGAACTGACTTTACAATTAGTGCAGGGGGACTAACATCAATACTTCAACCACTGGATGTGTGTACATCAACAAACCATTCAAGGACAGGTTGAAGAAAATGTACTTGAGACTGGCTCTCCAAAGAAGACAGAATGCTCATGCACATGAAACTGGCTAGTCTATTGCAAGTGTGCACTTCGACAGATGATGCCTGGAAGAGTATTCCTAGAGAAGTTGTTGAAAGGGTTTTAAAAAGTGTTCAAGTTCAAATGCTCTTGACAGCAGCAATGATGACTTTCTTTTCATGGACAAAAGTGACAAGAGTGAAGTGAGGAATGTGAGTAAAATTTATAGAAATCAGTGATCTGAGTGCTTTAAGCATCAAATTTATTTCTTAAGTTTAATTTCTTCTTCTTTTTTTTCCCCATTCATTATTTCTTGGGGTCTGCTTACAATTGGTGTCTACTTATAATCAAGTAAATAGTCTATTCATTTAAGTTTCTCCCCTTGTCATTCACAATAACTTTGAAATACCTAACTCCACATTCGACATTAATGAACGCAACGCTTAGCAGAAATTGAAATTGAATTTTCCTAGAAGCATATTATCATTAGCCAAGAAACTTGTTTATATAATTGTGTTAATCTTGGCAAGCCTCCAACAACAGCCCCAAATACTATGAAGGATTAAATTTGAAAAGATGGTTTACAAGCGGTTATTGGAAAATCCACTCTATTCTAAAGATTACTTCTTACTCGACTGCTATGATACGAACATTGATAAACTCCCCTTACTGAACTAGCTATGATTGTGGGGTCATGAATTAAAACATTTCTATTTCTTGGGTCAATTCACTGAAAACATTTGTTTTCCATCTTAAACTATTACTTTACAGGGCTTTACTCTCAAGGCGAAGATTAGGTAGAGGTTAAGGGTACCCTGTTACCCTGGCATAGGAAAATAGCTCTTAAAGGCAACAGAAATAGAACCTGTAAACAACTTTTGCTATTTAGGCTGCACTTTCACAGAAAACAATAAAAGTGCAACAGAAATAAAAAAGCGAATTACACAAGCAAAGAAGTCGTTCCTAAATAAAATAAATTTGCTCACAAATACAAACCTAAATTTGGATATTAGAAAGAAATTTCTGAAAAGTTATAATTGGAGTGTCCTATTACATGGATGAGAAGGATGGAAGCTTATAAAAAAAGACAGGAATCATTTTGAAGCTTGTGAGATGTGGTTGTGGCCAAAAATACTGTAGGTTTTCTGGACAGTGAAAATTTCAAATAATGTAATGTTGGAAAATGTCAAAGGAAAGAGATCCCTACTAAAAACTATTTGGAACAGGAATGGACAATTCTTTGGACAGATTTTTAGGCATAAATAATTTTTAAATACAAATTCGAACTGCAAAATAGCTGGAAAACAGAAAGATGGAAACCTCGAAAAACTTTTTTACAAAAACTTCAATCTGAATCACAATTCAAAAATATGCAGATATGAAAAGGACAAAGGAGGACAAACTATCATCGCAGCAGTAACACTGCATTTTTTGGCATTTAGGATGATGAATGATGAATTATTGTATCAATATTCGTATTATCTCTCATTTGTAATCACATCCATCCTGAATTGTAATATTCTTAGTGGAACCTTTCTGTGAAAAGGAAACAGCTGCCTAGTTGAATAACCCCAACTCTCAAATTTTTTATAACTGATTAGTCAAAAAAGATAAAATGTATAACAAACACACAGTTTATTGTTGATATTCTGAAAATTAAATAATAATTTCATATTTAAAAAAAAAAAACTTTCTATTAATTGTTGAACTTAATGACCATAATGAATCACACTTGGTACCCTATATTACTCGGTAATTGTAGAAAGATAACATTCTAGAATGAAAACAATTTATTCACACAGGTTGTCCTTTCACCTGTTATTCACACAGGTATCCCTTTCTCTTTTCACTCTGTGGCCATGAGTGTGTAAACCCTTCCCACCACACACAAGAAAGCTGGGAAATTACTTCTAGCACAGAAAAACCAGGTATAGTTGGCAAACAATGAGAGAATGAGCAGTGAAGTCTTTGAAAATGACCTCGAGCAACTTACATGCACTGCCCCTTTGCACAAAATCAGACTGTTTTAATACTATTCATAACGTTAACTTAATACAAGTATTTAGTGATACAAATGCATTCTTAAAAAAATTTTGTGTAGATGTTACACAAAGTTAACTTAAATTTTATTGCAGAATTTTTTGAAGATAAAATATCAGCTCCACGTATTATTTCTAAACAATATACATTGACCCATATTTCATACAATTTAATCAAGAAAAATAATAGAATTATCCAAAGTAATGTTGATAGATTAAAGATTAAAAAGAATACTGTAAATACTCGATTATAACCTGCAAACTTTTTTCAAAAATTGCTAGCAGAAAATTGGGGTGCAGGTAATATTCCTGACAAGGTTGGTATCACAAACTTTAAGAGTTTTGCACATGTTCACACGCCGGTATGAGTTATATAGCGATTTATGCAACTCTGCCCCTGGCAGGTATCAGTTGTTGATGGCTTCATCCAAACTGCAGTTTGAACGCCACCATAGTGACATCACTATGCAAGCTCCCATTTGGATGAAACTGTCAACAGTTGATACCTGCCAGAGACAGTGTTGCATAAATCGCAGTATAGTACAAAGCGTTCGTTGAGGTGCGGTAGATGTTTACCAGTTGTTCTCATAGATCTTTAACCACGAAAGAAAAACTATGTGTAATACAAAAAGCAGAAGAAATCTGTAACCGCGCAGCAGGAAAAAAGTATGGTATAGACAAAAGTCATATTTATGAGGGCAGTAAAAACAAAACGTCACTTGGACTAACCAGTTTTATTCTATCGTTTTATAACCGGGCACTTGGCGTTAATCAGCTGTTATGGTGTCCTCCAATCAGGAGCTTGAACATTATCACAGTGACATTTCTGTGGCAACGTTTAAGCTCCCGAAGGGATGAAACATTCATCAGCGGATTTACGCCAAGTTCCAGGTTATGAAAACCCAAGTATAATCAGTAGGTCTTTCGAGGACAAATTTTTGCAATAAAAGTGAGAAAATGAAGGGAAAGAAAATAATTTTTTTTGAGATACCTTTCCGTAAAATGAGGGTGCAGGTAATATTCGAATGTACACGGTACTATAAATTCTGCTATTTAGAGTATATTTTCCAAGCAAACAAAATAATTGTCAATATTTTTCATTCCATATTTAAGTTCCTTCCTTAATATTATCATAAACAAAAAATACTCACTGGAGAACAAAATTCTTCAAATGCAGGCTTTACAAAATTCATGTACTGATTTAACACTTGCTCTAAATCTCGACCTCTCTCGTTTATATCTCTAGGAACTGAAATCAAATGAAGATATTTCAGAAAGTTATAATAGTAATGTTCGCACACAAATTTCACTTAATGCAACATAACACAGAAAATGAAGAAAGGATTTTTCCAATAAAAAAAAATCTGCAGATTTGCCAAATTGTATAATGATTAAACAGTTGGAAAAACCCAGTTCTTTTTTTTTTTTTTAAATAACCCAACTCACTGGGTTTATATGGGATTTATTGAAATCACTTTAAATTATTGATTTAAAGATTAATTTTAGTAATTAGACTGAATTAATTTATTTAAATAAAAAATGTAACATTTAAATTAATTCCTAACATACAGAACATGTATTTATTAGTTGCAACAATGTACTCCCATCTTCCTTAAATGTTATATTAATAAAAAAATTTGATTACTTAAATATGTAATGTACATTTATTGTCTGTAAATGTAGAAGCTGGACTATGATATACGATAGGTAATATTTATGGTCCATTCAAAATTTCACACAATGTTTTGGCATGTTAAACAAGTGGTAAAAGTAAATCGATTAGAATATCATTTTTTGTTTCATGTCATATCTTTGTAGAGACTATTTTGATTAAAATGGAATTTTCCAAATACACTATATTTAATTAATGATAACCGAAATCAATACAAATAGCAATAAGGAATTTCACAAATGAAAATGTTGGCAGTACATCCCCATGTTTGCTCCGAGCAAAATGAC